TGATGGCTGGAGAAGAGCACAGAGTTAAGCAAAGGAAGCTTACCCGCCGCAATGCAGTGTCATGGACTCTTTTATGTCAAATGAGTTAGTCCTATCTTCAAGAGAAGGATAACCTCCAAACTCAGAGCCTCCTTGCTCTTATTCACGTTTTACAGGACTCTCTTTTATGTCAAATTCTTAAGCACAGGAGATTCAAATGGAAGCTTTGGCATATGAACTAAGGCCTCTTCTGGAGATAGATAGCATACAGGACACGCTGACCACAATTACAAGAGCAAAATGTAAATGCAAGTTCCTGTAAATCTTACGGCGTACGTGGTCCAGGCCTTCTGAGTCCAGGTGAAGGAGGAAGATGGATGATGTCTACATCACTTCCTCTAAGGTGATCATTACTAGAGTTTTCAGTATAGAAAGAACTCAACTCTCTAAGATTATCAAATGTTACATAATTTAATGATAATATCTTTAAATATTTTTATTTTTCTATTTTAAATACAAATGAAATAAATTCAACAAAATCTTATTGGTGTCTTTTTAATTTGTAGGAAAAATTGTATTCCCATAAATCATTGAATTTAAATTCTAATTATCATAAAATACCATTAAATTATTATTTTATTTATAAAAAATGAAAATTATTTGTAATTATATTTTAATGAGAATTATAATATAAATTGATGGATTTTCAAAAATACTTATTTACAAAATTTAAATATATTATGTTAGAAAGAAATACTGATTCTATTTCAAATATACAAAATAATATATTATATATTTATCTATCTATACTATTAAAACGAAGTCATGAGTTATTTCATGTATAATTTTTTATTTGGACCACTCTCGTTAAACAGTTATCAAATTTCACATAATTTAATTATAATATCACCCCATATCCTTATCTTTTATTTTAATACAAATACTAGATTTTGACCCGCGCTTTTTAAGCGCGGGTTTATTTTTGGATTTAAACATTTTTTTTTTTAAAAAGTCTATAAATAATGTATAAATCTGAGAACATCTATCCGGAACCAAGAAACCCAACCGTACCAAACTGAACAAACAAAACTGAACCGAATTTCATGAATAACCGAGGAGATTCTATATTTATGGAACCAAAAAATTAAAACCATACCGAGAACCAAATGGATATATGGAATTCAAAATAAAAATTATTTACCTACAAAATTAATTATATCTATTTTTTAAATAACCAAATATTCTAAAAAATACTATATATAAACCAAATTAACAAAAAAAAAATTATTAGTGGTTTCATATCCTAGTTGGACCCGCGGGCGAACCAGTAAACCCGTTGGCCGTATATAATTCAGACATGCTTATGTTTTTCATGTATAGCATTCTATCAAAGTATCTACTAAATGATATATTTCCTCAAAATTCAAATTTAATGAAAACTCATTAATCAAAAATCTGATAAAAACCAACCGTCATTAACCCGTGAACCGACACCTGTTGACCTGGTAAAGACCAATAAAATTTAATAATATTTTCTTAAATTGTATTTAACTTCTCTTACATTTTATAATAGTATATAAAACTGAATAAATTATTTGATTTTCATATAAAGTACATTTTTGGGATTGATTCATTTTTAATAGAATTAATCTGATAAAAAATTCTAGAAAATATGTATTTGAACAAATACATAGATTCAGGAAAATACATGAAAATGGTGAGATTTAAATAAGTATATAATATATGGTTTATGGTATAGGGGTTTGGTTTGTATTGAAAATATACATAATGCTCTTAAACATATTTTGCAAGTTTTCATACATCAATACTATTAAAAGAGAAGGAGTTTTAAAAAAATCTACTATAAAAAAGTTGTTGGACCTATTCATTAGAAGGTTAATATTTGCATATTTACCTTAATCAGTCAAAATATACCAATATACCTATATATTAAAATGTGATCTGTCCTAAATTTACTCCTACAATATTTCTTTAACTAACTAACAATTTCGTAATTATTAACATTATTTTACAAATGAAATTAAACGCATTTTCACATGCCCCATCGTCATCAGTTCAATAGTGGATCTAATAATATTATAAGTGTTATATATTAAGTAAATACATGTGTTATTGACACATCTATTAATCGACACACTGTAATTTGCAAAGATTATCAATCTAATATATATTATTCTTAAGTATAAACCAGGCTGATTCTAGGCATCAAAACCAAATTAACAATACTAATTATATATGTTCTTATGTTTCAAAATCTCTCATAAATATGTACATTTTTAAGTGTAACCAATTACAAAAACTATCAAAAGTATAAAGTATACCATTCTAAATTTAATCATTATAAGTTTATAACCATCCAAAATGATTTATATAATAGCTTAACCTTTTAAAATAATTTTAATTTTATTTAACAACATTTAATTATTAATATTTTCTTGATTTAAATGTGATACAAACTATAAAATACACTAAAAATTGATAAAAAGTATGATTCTGATCTTATTAAACATGAGAAAAACTCAACCAAGACTTCCACAATTACATTAAACTAACAATATTCCATATTTATAGTAAATAATTAACAAGCAAACCAAAAATTTACAAATTAACAATATTCCCCCCCCTCCCTCTATATTAATTAGAATTGTTTATAAAAGTTTATACTGTTATAATTAACAAGCAAACTACAAATTTATGAAAAAAAAAATATTCTCCCGTCTATGTTTACTAAAACTATTTATTAAAATTTATCTATTATAATAATCTAAAGATATATTACAAATACCATGTTAAATTAATTTGCTATCTAATTTAAAAAATTAATTTTAGATACCTTAAGTATCCGATCCGATCTTAGGTAAGACTTAGACTCTAACTGAGACCCACAGTTTAAAATAAATAGTCAATAGGTATTTTACCTTTGATCAGAATCCTAAGCCAAACATGTATATTTATATTGATTTTGGTTTGATTTCTCGGGTCCACTTAACATGTCAATCTAAAAATAGTTACATAATAATTTACATAATAGTATAATTCATAAATTATATGGTTTTAAACATATTCACTTTTTGATATAATACGACTTTGTAATTTTATAATGTTTAAATAATTCAAAAACATTAATTCATATTAATTTTTTATAATTTAAGAAAAACCCGCGCTTTCAAAGCGCGGGTCAAAATCTAGTAGATTTTAAAATTACATGAATAGCATACCAACAAATTTCATCACGACCATTATTACTTTGAATTTTTATTTTTGGTTATCGATATAAGGTCAAAGATACACGTACATGCATAATATTGATTTGTTTTGACTTTTTCCTTACTTAACGAAGTGAATAATAATGCACACAAAATACTTGTAAAAAACTATATTATATGCAAAAAATCGGGGTGATATAATGATAGGCAGTTAGGTACGTAAGACATTATAATGCGATGAATGAATCTTAGTTTGAAATAAATATCAACCGAAATAAGTGGGGGTTATTCCCTTTTAATAATATTAATAATTGGATTAATTAAGGTAAGTATAAAATAAGGCATATTAAGTTTCTAGTGAATAGGTCCAACAACTTATATAAGTAGATTTTTTAGGACTCCTTCTCTTTTAATAGTATAGATTTTTGGTTAAACAATTTAAATTTATCTAGATAGCACTATATATTCCTAAAACCTAAATAAAAAAATATATACTAGAGTTTGATCCACACAGATTTTTTATTTTGAAAAATAAAACTTTGATAGTATTCTTAAAAATATAAATATATGATTTACATTTAATATTATATATTACTAGGGATTGCCCCGCCCTACGGGCGGTGAGTTTACAATAAAATTATTTTATATTAAATATATTTTAGTTTCATAAATATTTGAATTTTACTTTATACTGAAAATAATAAATAATCGGTTTCTATTCTAAAGTTATCTGGTACATTTTATTAGATTTTGTTGATTTGAGTTGAAAAGACAACTAACTTTTTTATTGTTAGAGAAAACAAAATTATAAAATCAAAAGTTGAATGAAAATTCAAATGATATATATTTTCCTATTTTACTTATATTTCAATTGGGTATAGTTGAAGAAAATCTAAAATAAGAATAACTAATATTTTTTTCCTTATAAGAGTATCAGATTTTAATAATAAAATTTCATTATAAATTGAAAATTTAATATAAACTGAAACAAACATATATTATAAAACATCATTTGTTGTCACATAATTACTATTTTAAACAAAAAAATTTATATTCGCTATTTTGAAAAATATCAAGTTCAAGTTAAAATTACAAACCAAGATTTGGTGACAAAGCTAACATATCACATCAAAATCAGCTATCGGATCATAAAGCATTTGAAAACGTAACTAGAAATGAAGAAAAAGTTAGAAAAAGTGTCTCAATAGATGAAAGTGACCTATAGTGTTATTATAAAGTATAAATGTAACTCACAATGTACTATTCTCAATAATAAACATAACTGACTTAACTTAATTGTGGAAAGATGCAACTGTTAAATATCAAATATTCATCACCAAAAGGTGCATCTAACTTATGAAGATTGATATAAAAAGTTGTGTATGTTGCTTAATTTTTTAAGGGCATCTTGTATCGTTTAGTGATACGCTATCATCTTTTCTTCTCTTCTTCCTCCAACCTCGTAACGCTGTACCTTCTCTTCTCATGTTACAATAACAAATTTCAGAACATGTATCCTGATCTTCTCCACTCATTTTATTTCAATAACTTTCAGAAGATGTATCATAATCTTTGCTTCTCTTCTTCCTCCAACTCTTAAACACCGTCCTCTCTTCACTTGCATAGTTAGTCTTAAATAAGTTCATATTTTCTTGTTTTGATCTGCATAATAGATTTAGGGTTTTTGATGCAATCATGATACTTGCATAGTTAGTCATAGTCCACATCATAATTTTATTAAAAAAGCATAAATAAAAGGGAAATAACACAAGAAGATCCCAAAAGCAAGAACTATTAATTCCGAGGGAGAAACCATCGAGCATCCATGATATTCATCATGTCAAGATCAGGAAAGCGAACGAGGGTCTTGGTTGCAAGATTGAACACACATATGTCAAGGTCGCGAGGTGTGCAATGGCAGGGACGAAAGTGACGGGTGAAATAGATGCAGTCTGGTTCGATACCAAGGGCCTTGTTAGCAGGCACAGTGAAACCCAAGTCAAGAAGCAGGGCCTCACCACCAAGAGAATCTACCTCAACAACCGTGTGGCAGCGGGTTTCCGGGTTTTCTAAATCAGGATCCTTCTTGTAGAGGCGGAACCAGGTCCTATTATATGGATCACTCTCAACCAACAAAACCTCTCCTGATCTTGTAACCGCAATGCTAGAATCGTATTGATCATCACGAGAAAGCATTGGGAATGGTGTACGACCGGTAATGTCCGTGAAGAAACCTTGCTGTCCAGACAGATCTAGGATTCGAACATAACAACGACTTGTTGAGATATAAAGACGCTCACCGCTTAGCACCATATTCGATAAGCCATCAAACCGGTGCAAGTCCGGTCGTAAAATAGAGGAATGTCAGTGTAATGAGTATCACCATTCTTGCAAAAGCTTATATAAGAGTGGCCAGGGAGGTCGAACAACCACACCACAACGTACTCTTTTCCACTCTCGGAAACCCACAAAAGACCCCTCACCACATCAGAACTCAGATCACCGGCAAAAGAGTCAGACTCATGCCTTTCAAATACTCTATCTCCCACGCGCTTGACAGTAGAATCAGTTGACTCAATCGACTCTAGAGACGGGAGAAGGATCTTTTTCTCGCTAAACACATCTATGATAAATAAATTGGATACAGAATCTAACACCAAGAGCCAGTTACCCGAGTTTGCGAGGAATCGACATCCTGAAAAGTCTCCCTGGTTCCTTTGGATACTGCCTTCTTTAGGGTTGTACAACACAAAACCACCGTCTTTTGGAAAAAGCATCAGCCCTAGAGATCCGCTTAACGTCCGCTTTAAACTCTGACCTAGATCCGGCGAGCTGAGGGAAGAAGATATCATCATTATCACGAGGCAGATTCTCTCGTTTGTGGCCTGAGAGCAGTTATTGTGTGTGTGTATACCGCTTAGGGTTTTTTTTGGGGGGGGGGGGACGAAGACAATTTTAAAGTAACAGCCCGTAATAATATTAACACCTAAAAGCTTTATGGGACATAATTACTTGAGTCATACATTTTGATTATTTCAATTAAAGTAAGACAGAGACTTAACGTGACATCCAAGTACCAAGTAAAGCGTCATGTCTCTAACTAAACCCATCTCAAAACATGTTTGCTTCTGAAGTGGTATCATCTGTAAATTTAAGTTTAAGGTTTATATAAGTATCATCTATATTTTAGAAACGCAAAAGGAAACAGAGTGGTTAATTAACGAGGTAGGCATATTGGACTTACTGTGGTTTTGAATTAATCTGGAAGTGGTGATGTTGTTGATTCTGTTGATGAGACAATGAGACGATTATCAAACCATTGTTGGGGTTGGTTTGATTCTATTGCAAGGACCCTAGAAGGCTCTTCAATTCTGCTGATAGCGGGATGATTCGGAGCAAAACTCTGCAGAGAATTAATACATAATGTCATAAGAAGCCACAAAAAAGTTTATGAGACGATTGTTCATCTCCGTGAAGCCTTCAAGGCCTGTAATTTCAAAGTTCAGAGCTTCTAAGCACGCAGGTAGGGAGTAGAATAAGTCATCATCATCTAAGGATTTGACCGTTGGTATTGATGTTGCTGTCTTCTGTTGATGCATTATAGGCTTTCGTTCAATTACTTGATTAGTAAAATTATAGGAAGGCTTTTTCGGTCTGTCCTTAAATTCAAACAGTTCCTTGACCTTGGTCACGACATCAGTGAAGAACACAGGATCAGAGCTGCAAGAATAAAACACTGTAAGTTAGAACTAATGTTGACACCTTGACATAGAGAAGCAAATATATATATGCATTTTATTTTACTTTTTTTGAACATAACATATGCATTTATTTATATACCTATTTTCATTGCTCAAGCCTGATTTTGAAGAAATGAACTTGATAGCTTGTCTCCATTCCCAGATTCTAGCTTCGGTATCTAGTAAGTATAGAGTTCGCATTGTCCCTATTGACGGTGTTGCGCACTTCTTGCTCTATCTTGAGAGGCCTATTACGGAAACAACCCTTCAGTTCAATGCCTAGGAACATCCTCCGGCTTGTAGAAAATGGGGAATGGATCAAGCTCTCCTGCATCCGCAAGCTTCTTGATCTCAACGAGCTCATCAAGACACTGTGGTGACTCAGGGTAATTGGTTGAGAAGACAACCATTGCAACCTTTGACTCTTTGATCCTCTCCTTTGTCTCATTTTCTACATACACCGAGATTTCGTTCGATTCGAATTCTGTGTTTAGAGAACTCACTAGGTTTTTTTTTTAACTGCTTCTCTCTGAAGCTGATGAACACTCTAGGAGGAGGAGGGTTTATCATCACTGCGCAACGCTTCATAATGTTGCTTAAGAATGAAAAGCAGGTCAAAGAACAATCGGAGTATTTATCTTCACCAAGACGGTTCGGAGTATTGTCATTACTCTCTGCCATTGCTAACACATCTGCAGAACCTAATAAATTTAATCCAGAGGAATTAAGGATACTTTTTTTTTGTCATGAAGGAATTAATAAGGATACATGTAAGTCAGTAAGTGTAACCAATGTTCTAAAATCGGTACATGCGGCGTCCCGTTTAGGCGGTAAATAGGCCATAACAAAATCTACAATGATTTTTTTTTTCAAATTGATCTAGGCATATATGTTTTGAATAGATTCTATTAGTCTATTTAGCCGGGCTCTAATTATCTACAAAATATCTAATTACCGCATATTAACTTCTTGAACTTTGCATGTAACAAAGCTATACGTTGAGTCATATGCAAGAAACTTACTAACGACTTGAACAGGTGAATCGTAGGTTTGATCTTCGATTTCTTCTAAAACTTATTAGGTAATAATCCGCGCAAAGCGCGGAATGTGATAAGTAGTTTGATTATTTTTAGTAGAAAGATATTAAATCTGTTTAAACAAAATATATATTTGGTTTTAGGTTGTTTTTTTTTTGTTTTTAATCTCTTAAATATAATTATCATTTTAAATAAATATTTGTTTTGGTTTACTCGGTTACTTTTTTTGATGTTTTTTGGTGATAACCGAAAACTACTATTATTTGTTTGTTTTCATGCTATGAATTTTAAATAGTTGTGATGTCAAACTAATAGTTTCATATTATATTTTCTAAATGGATAATAGTTAAAGAAAATAAATTATTGAGACAGAATCATTTTACTACAATTTGGTCGGTAGTAAAAGAAATATTAAGAAAAATAATATTTCAACTTAAAAAAAAAGATTTTTCAGTTGTGGTGAATACTCAATTATAAGGTGCTTAAATCAAGGTGCACATGTATATGTATGTAAAAAAAAAAATTGAGACAAAATCATTTCACTACAGTTTGGTCGGTAGTAAAAAAAATATTAAGAAAAATAATATTTCAACTTAAAAAAAAAATATTTTTCAGTTGTGGTGAATACTCAATTATAAGTTACTCAAATCAAGGTGCACATGTATATGTATGTAAAATTATATAAAAATGGTTGATAAATATATAAAGATATTGTTAATTAATACAAAATAACATTTTTGTTCAAAATAACACATGAAAGATAAAATTTTTAAAATAAAATTAGTTACAAATAAAATAAACCTAGACATTAGTGAATTTTTTCATATAAAGAAAATAAAATTGTATCCGTAAATATGGGTGGGCAGAGATCGAATATCTGAGTATTTGTAGGCATTCGTGTCAATTCAATCTTTAGCCATATTCTGTGATTCGGAAATACGAACTTTTAAAATTTTAAAGAATATCCGAGTTGATCCGTAAATATAATAAAATTTTAAAAATAAATAAAAATCTGAGAAAAATATTTATTACAAAAATAAATATTTTTTTTTAAATTCTAATACATAATATAATAAATTTAATACATAAATATTATAAACTATAATATATATAACATATATATATATGTAATTCTTTACATATATGTATATATATGCATATAACCGAACAAATTAGATATCCGTTCATAAAAATATTGGTATTTGTGATTTGCTTCCTTTTTGGATATTGTATTTTAGTATTTGATTTGCTTCGTAGAGTTACGGATATCTAGATTTTTTTTGGTTCAAATCAAAATGGATAACAAATTGAATATAAATGTATGAATATTTATTAATATACAATAAAATTAATATATACATATATACATAAATAATTTAGTTTTTGATTTTTAATCTGTTTAGATTCAAACAATCCAGAGTTTTAATGGACCATGCATGTGAATTTTTAAATTGAAAAAACTTGTATAGTGTGAACACATTTATGAATGTACTGTAAATGCATCATCATATTTATTATTAAATCGTTGTAAAACTGACACGTGTCCATTATAGTGTGAATACATTTTTTAGAATGTTTTTCATTTAATATATAAGGGGAGTGCTACACTGCTAACACATTTAATATCATATAACATTTTATTTAAACTTATATCTTTTATATGGCTAACATATCAAAGATGTTGGTGAAAAAATGTTTTTATGATTTGATATGGCTGAGCTGTTTTTTAAAAAAATTACAAAATCTAGTTAAATTTTAACAAATTATAAATAAATCTTAAATAAATATTTGTGCCAATTAAGAATCAGTAAGAAAAAAAAATTCGTAGGGGTCCAGAGATAATTTCTTATGCTCATATACTACAGAGGAATCTCAAATTTTTATTGTTATAGGTATTTAACTAATTATATACTTCTTTATGGGTTTTGACCTAATTAATTCTTATATCAGTACATGTTAAAAGTTAATGTTCAAACTATTTGATGTCCGAAATAATACTCCCAAAAGTTTTTTTTTTGGATCAAAACTCCCAAAAGTTTTATCTACTAATAATAAAAATCCTGATTAATTCAAAAGGTTGTGAATCTTTATTAAGTTGAAAGATTGTGTTTTAATTTTTAATTTTGTAAGTTTATTTTCAAACAATGTGCCTGTTCAAAAATTAGTTTATTTGAAAGAACATGTTTATTTAAAAAAAAATTGAACAATTTGTCTGTTGAAAAATTAGTTAATTTGAAAAATGTGTCTATTCAATATATATATTTATATATATATTGAAAAGATGTATTAGTAGAAAGTTATGACTATTCATTAAAAACCAACTATAATTTGAAAAGTTGTAATTTTTGAAAGAATTCTTTTAAAATTTGTATTTGTTCATATAAATATCTTTACAAAATAAATGCATTTAAATTGAAAGAATTATTAGAGGATAACTATCGATTAGTATAGTTTAGATATTATCCTAAGTATATTCTACGTATATACCGCAACTGATTGTAACTGATTGTACTATATATTGAGCTATCAATAAACGTAATCATTCAAGGGAAACATACATTCTCACATGGTATCAGAGGGTTCTCAATCCTGAACCATTTTTTTCGCAACTCCCCTGCGACTTCTCTCCTTTTCTCTCCTTCCTCAACCCATATTCTCTTTCTCCTTTTCTTCGACTTCTCTTCCATGGCTGCTCAACCCGAGAGAGCTTTTGGCATCACAAACATCAAGCACTACATTCCCTTTCCTCTTGATGTCGATGAGGGGAACTATGACGCGTGGAGGGAACTTTTCCTCACGCATTGTCAGAGCTTTGACTGCGCAGGCCATCTTGACGGCACTCTTTTGCCGACTAATGCCGATGATGCCGTGTGGACAAAGCGTGACGGCTTGGTCAAGCTGTGGATCTACGGCACACTCTCAAAAGAGCTGTTCAAAAGTACCTTCAAAACCGGAGGGAGCTCTCGTGATATCTGGCTGAGGCTAGAAAACTATTTTCGTGACAACAAGGAGGCGCGTGCGGTCCGTCTCGACCACAAGCTCCGTACTCAGGAGATCGGTGATCTTACCATCCACGCCTACTGCCAGGAACTTAAGTCCACTGCTGATCTTTTAGCCGCTGTTGACTCACCTGTCTCCGAGAGAACGTTGGTGACTTACATGTTGAACGGCCTCAACGCAAAACATGACAACATCATCAACGTCATCATGCACAGACAGCCATTCCCATCCTTTGAGGCCGCTCGATCAATGCTTATCTTGGAAGAAGAACGTCTTGGCAAGGGCAAGAAAACGTCTCAGCAGCAGCAACTCAACACTCAGGGTCCCTCTGCAACGCATCAAAAGATGGAGCCGACAATGGACTTTGCCTCTGCGTTCAACACGATGACGCTCATTGATCCAACCGATGCAAACTGGTACATGGATTCTGGTGCAACGGCACATCTATCCAATACAGGAGGTAATCTTAAGTCTGTTGTTAATTCTAGTACCGGAAAAACAATAACAGTGGCCAATGGTTGTCGAGTTCCAATTGAATCATCAGGCACTCTTTCTTTCCCAACTCTATCTCGTCCTTTATCATTAAAATCTGTTTTTGTTACTCCTTCTCTAATCAAAAACTTAATCTCTGTCAGACGCTTTACTAGAGATAATTCTTGTTCTGTGGAATTTGATCCTTGTGGTTTTTCTGTGAACGATCTCAAAACCAGGAGAATGATACTCCGCAGTAACAGCACAGGCGATCTCTATCCTCAGCTTCCTTCTTTCAATAATGCTATATCGCAGCCTGTTGCTTTATTTACTTCTTCTTCTAATGTTTCTCCTAATGTTTGGCATCGCCGTTTGGCGCATCCTAATGTTCAAACATTGAGTTTATTGCATTCAAATTCTGCTATTTCTTTTAATAAAAACTCTCTTTCTGATATGTGCACAGCTTGTCAACTTGGTAAACACACAAAGCTTCCATTTTACAACTCTAATACGACAGTCACTCAACCTTTCGACGTCGTGCATTCAGACTTATGGACCTCGCCAATCCAAAGCTTAAGTGGGATCAAATACTATGTTCTTTTTATTGATCAATTCTCTCACTTTCTTTGGATTTATCCCTTGCGTTACAAGCATGAAACTTTCACTAAATTTCTGCACTTTACAAATTTTGTG